TGAGCATTGATTTCAGGCATATCCACAAAAATCATTACTATTTTTGAGGCGAACTTACAGAAGACGTAAGTGGTACTTGCGAGGAAAAAAGTATGTCTCAACCTATGGAAGGTCCCTGAAGAGAGAAGGCAAGTAAATGTAGTACAATCAACTGGTGCTAATTACACACATGCATTTTAGAATAAGACATTCCCACTGACGCCTTCGCAACAACAGTTCCGGCAATTTCTTTGCATTTTACTTGAGCTTTTTTTTCATGGAATTCCACGTAATAGTTTTTAGCTGATAAAAAGGTAGTAAAGAAAGTTACATAGACTTACGTAGCTTCATAAACGTGATAATATTGGTCTCTTGCAATCGTACACAGCGAGTTTCCATCACAGTACAGTGATGGTGGAGTAAACGAAAGTTTCTGACCACAGCAGTAGCCCAGTTTTTTCATCACCGGATTGATCTGTTCCACAAACACTTGGCTGAGCTAAAAACGCACACACAAATTTACGTACTCAGATGGTCTAATTCTGAGCTTACGACTGAACCTAAGGTATGGGAGAGCAAGCATCTCAGCAACATCATCATTAACATGGAATACCCATATTGATGCATGGACTGTTTCTCTATTCTTGGTGCATGATTATTATTGTTATTGTTATTATTGTCTTTGTTAGTTGTGTTGTCACTATTATTATTATTTTTATTCCTATCTTTACAACTGTAAAAGCAGCAGCCTTCTTTAAAAGACCAATTATAAATCAAGTTAAACAAACATTAGGAAAGTTGTCAATAAAATTGAAGGATGTAGCTGTTGAATGCGGTGAGCTTAAGGCAGAAAAGAATGGAAAAGTTGCCAGCACCAATAGCGGAGAACAACGGAGCAATTGTTATTTAACGTGTGGATACATGTAATCACTCTGGCAGCACTATCATTGGAAAATGCAAGCAAACCTTATTGCAGTAGCTGTACACTTTTGAGTTCTTGCGATGGCACATCCAGGCGTTCTCAAACATTAACCACATATCATCGTTGAAATCCCACGGATTTTTATACAGTCCTCGACGCAGTTTGCTACTTATAACCGATAGATCTATTGCGTGCTTCAAAATATCAAACTATCATAGTATGAAGTGTTATACCATCCCATAACCATCTTGCAATAACTGGACTTAAAAATGGCGCTGAACATCGAATTATAGGCAGAGAGTTTTGGAGAATATTTTTAGAAAATTCTACACAAATCTGTTTGCATCACACGCCAACAATCCAACATTCTAAACCACGGTGGGCATTATCTTCCTCGGCTTTTCAGTGAGATAAGATATTCAGTCTTCCGAACCGAAAGTAGGAAAGGTCTTCGGCAAAAATAACGCTAACAGTGTTTTTGTCAAAATCCATATCAGAATGGTCAGCTAGAACACATCAAAAATATAGAAATCAGCGTCCGGTTTCGAATTTCAGTGAAGGGAGGAAGATGGAGTCGTGAATCTTGTGAAAAGTCGGCAAGTACTGAAAAAGCAGTTGATAATAAAGAAGGATATGCTCAATAAGCAGAGGATCCAGTACAGGAGTGATTAGCACATTGTGTTCGGAAGCAAGAAAAGCAAACGAAAAATCGCCTTCAGCAAGAGGTAAAAAACTAAAGCTGATGCCTAGGTAAAGCAGAAGGCGAATAAGTGATGCAGCCAAGGTAGACCTGAGGGCTCTCAGCTTTACCTAAGCATCAAAATGTGAAGACACGCAAAAACGAGAAATTCGATTCTTTTCCAGTCTATGATTGTTTGCAAAACGATTTTTTTCGCGAAAGACGAATGGGGACTGGATAAGGTCAAATTACGTATACAGCAGCTCAATTTTTAAAAAAAAATGCTAAGCCAATAAAATCCTCTACAAAAAATTCGTAATAACTTGCACGGGACACTCACCTGTTTTTCGGGATTTTTTGAACGCAATCGGCTCTTGAATGGCATCGATGCTCTCATACTCAATAATTTATCCAGAACTGGTTTCAAATTGCTACGAAGCTCAGCTGGACCAAATATCTGAATTAAATTAATCTGAGAGAAGAAACGTATTAGACAATTAATATAGCAATTTTAATCTATCTTTGTTTAAATTGACAAAGTTCGAGATGTGTTGGCGACACTCAACATATGCCAAGATATCCGCCAAATGGCTAAGATTTTGCAAAGTGCCTGTGTGGGGTAAGCGCTAGGTCGACAGTCCCTTTAGAAGGTAGGTCATAGAGTTAAATTTTACTTATAAACAAATTCAGGCTTTTGCAGCGTTGGTGCCTGTGCTGCCACTCCCCGTTTTGCTTAACTTACTTGCTCCTCAGCCCTCCCCTCGGATCCGCCTACGCTCAAGACTAACAGCTAGT